GGGTGCTGAAGCGATAGCACAGCAGGTAGGGCATTTGCCTTGCACACGGCCAACCCAGGTTCAATTCCCAGCATCCCATATGGTCCCCTGAGCATTGCCAGAATTCCTGAATGCAGAGCCAGGAGATACCCTTGAGCATTGCGGGGTATGACCCACAACTCCCCTCCCCCCGCAAAAAAAAAAATTGAGAGAGAACCAAGGCCTTGAGAGATACTTATTTCTCCATTGGCAACTTAGTCACTCATTGAAAGTTAGGTCTTTCAGAAGATGGAAGTAGCTATAACACAGTGATAACTAGAGGGGAGGCTGCCTGGGACATAAGAAGCAGGACTGACAACACTCTGATCATTTAAACTCCCCCCAAATACTTATCCATCCTCCAAGTGTTAGGACGTCTAGTGAACCCAAATACTTTCAACCACTGAAGCCCCAACTAAAGTCAGTCTTCACACATACAACAACCTGGTTCTTCTGAGAGACATGCCCCCAAGTAAATACTTTGCGGTTTGTTTGAATCAAACTCATTATAATGTCTGTATTGTGGATTTCTAGGAAAGGCCTAGATGATGGTATGATGCTGTAATTCATTGAACCAACTCAAAGCCTCTCTTCCCAACTGAACAATGCCCATGGAAATTCAGTGAATTCACATCTTCTTATTCATTGAAGAATTCAGCAAGGCCGTCTGATAGCTCATTCTTCTTACTGCTGGCATTTGAAAGAAAGTCAATGCTTGGGCCAGAGAGATAGTACAATAGTCAAGATACCTTTCTTGCATGCAGCCAACCTGGGTTCAATCCCCAGCACCCTAAATGGTCCCCTGATCACTGCTGGTAATGATCCCTGAGTGCAGAACTGAAAGTAAGTTCTGAACGCAGCCAACTGTGGTCCCAGACACACACACACACACACACACACACACACACACACACACACACAAACATACGTGAAAAAAAGTCCATACCTTTCTTTAAAATCTTTTGTATATATACTTATTTATTTTAAATGTTTTGGCCTATATTTGAAAAAACATGTGAAGCTTTATCATTTGGGGCCTCTACTGTTAGCATATGTCTGAGTACTTTGCTAAAGGGACCAATGATTGAGCCCAGCCTCTGTGTCTGAATCTGAGTGCAGGAAATTCAGCCACAATCTTTCGGGTTTTATTTTCTTTCCTGTGGAAATGAGAAGGCAAATACCCACTTTGGAACTCACTCACTTTATAGATGCCTGTCCTTCATGTCTATCATGTCTAATTTTCTTCTTCTTCTCCTTCTCCTGGTCTTTAAGTAAAATGATTTTTCTTTGATTTATTTTCTCTACTCTGCTCCTTCATGGATCAGTAGGTTTTATAAGGTTTCATAGGCCTCAGAGAAAGCAGTTTTGTTATCCTGGATCTTTTTCTTTTTTTTTTTTTTTTTTTTAGCCATTCTCAGAGAATATTTTCCATGGTTTTTGTAAAGTTTTAAGAATCATGGTAGTTCTCTTACTCCTCACACTTTAAAACATCATACAAGAACTATTTTTAAGGCTTTAAGGAAAACCCTACAAATACCCCAGCTTTTCTGTAAAAGCACGATTCTCAACTGGAAAACGATCTTGGCCCCAGGCCCTATGTATTAGAAAATGTCTAGAGATGTTTCTGTTTGTCCCAAATTGAGTAGAGGGAAGCATCTGACACTTTGTGTAGGGGGTCAAGCAACTGCCTCTTATAAGGCAATGCCAACAACAAGGAATGATCTAGTCCCACAATGCAACCGGACCAAAACTGACAATCCTAGTCCCATTCTTCATTTTCCTCAAGGCCTGAGAGGGAAAAGATAAAGAAAAAGTTTGCATTTCTCTGAGTGTGGGTGTCCTGAGTTCTTCCATCCTACAGCACTCCAGGAATGGGAGAGCATAAGGGTGCCACTGAGCAGGGCAAAGTGCAGGCTCATAGCAGGTCTTCTTAGCTTCAACAGCTGTCCCCACTCCAAAGAGAGACAACTTTGACCAAAGCAGAGGACCAAAAAGTTACAAGGATGTTTAGTTTGTGATAAAAATCATTCTGCAGATTAAAGTGCTTCCTCCTGCCCATAAAATGGTATGTTTTTAAAATAACTCCAAAGTAGAAGGCATTTAACTCTGTTGTGAGCAGGAGGCGAGACTGCTGTGCTGAGCCATGGTCAATTAATTTCATCTTGTAATCAGGCCTCCCCTATACTGTAGATGGTGATGCTCTTCCTACTTTCTCATCTATGCCATTAAACTCACCCCATCTTCTGAATGACCCTATCGTCAATTTGAGGGGACTCAGCAGTGTTTGCTCGAACCATTTTCTCCCTTCATTCCTTGACTAGGCTCTCTCTCTTTCCTTTGGTGTAAGCAAGATGGCTGTTCACTCTTCAGATACTGTCTGCCCTCACACACCAGCCCAGTTAGAAAATTAGAGGTTTCCCCAAGGACCTGAGAAAGCCTCAGTTTTACTCATTGGCTTTCATGGGGTCACATAGTCCTCTCAGAGCTGGAACAATGCCTGAATGATATTCATAGACTGAACCAGACCAGAGATGTGTTGTCTCAAAGGGAAATCAGGATGAGATCAATAGGAGAAAGGATACCCAGTACACACACACACACACACACACACACACACACACACACACACACACACATTCTCTCTCTTCTCTCTCTCCCATTCTCTCAGTATCTCAGTCTCTTTCCTTCCCTCTCCCTCCCTCTTTCTCTCTCTCTCTCTCTCTCTCTCTCTCTCTCTCTCTCTCTCTCTCTCTCTCTCTCTCTCTCTCTCTCTCCTGTTAAGGATTCTAGAGAGAAAGACTCAAATTTTGGTCCTGGGCTTTTCCTTTAATGCCTCAGTTTTGCAGTTAACTAGCTGCACAGCTTGACATAACCATTTAACTCTTCCTACCTCCTTTCCCTCTTCTACAAAATGGAAATAGTAATATTTCAGGGTGGTTATCAAAAAATCAAGCAAGTATCTTAAGATATCGGAAGGCATGTGCAAAGAAGTAGTTGTGGTAAATGAAAATGAACTCTATCAGACAGAATCTAGAAGAATCTAGACCTGCTAAAACCCACCCATCTAGATATGCCAGCCTTTTGGTAAGTCAGTGTCTAAATTTATCCCATTCCTCATTGTTGCAGGTCAGTGTGGGAAATCTTCTAAGGTCAATGACTGAGTTAATTGACTTGCTGTGGATCTTGAAAAGGTCTCTCTGTTAAATGACATAATTGGTTTTAATTATATAATTATGGCACTTAAAGTGTGGGGGTGAAAGGTTACTATTATATTTAGAAGTGAGATTCGCAAACGAAGCTAGAGTGTTTTAGCCAGAGTTTCTTCGAATTTTTCTTTTATTTTTTCAGAGGGAAGTCAGAATAGACTGGCCTTGGCCCTGGCCATTTTGGGATGATTATCCTGCTTGAAGCAGTGCTAGGGCTGCTCAAGGCATCATAGGGACCCTTTGTAAAGAGGCGGAAAGGGCTTCCGTAAAGACCTCATTGTGATCTAAAGTTAATGAGCAGTGGGAACTCAACTGTCAACAATTGAATCTGATTGGGCAGGGTAATTATATGATTGCCTCTGGTATTTGCACATGCACTGGGATATTTTTATTGGAAAAAACCTAATTGCTTACTTACTTAGTGGAGGGAAAACCTAAACAAATTTATGTTGTCATAGGTTAAAAAGGCATCCTTTCTTTGTCTCTAGAATAACTGCCTCTTCTAGTTCTTAGAAGTCAGGTTTTGTTTCTTTCTGTGTTCAATCAGGGATCTTGTTTACAAGACTTGAATTATATGATAATATTAAGACATAAAGAGAAGCTAGTTTAAACTATATATTTTGGTAAAATGACCACGTGCTTATTGTCATATCTTGAACCATCTCCTACAATGGTCTCTTTCATAATGCAAAGGCAGCTAGAATCTTGAGCAGCCCTCAAGCTACTGGGATAGTCATGGTTTTTTGGTTTGTTGGGGGGTAGGGGGTGTCCTTTTTCCTGCATGGAAATACTTGACAGGGTTGGCTTGCTAAGATATCTTGTTTTCCTTAATTGTATGAGGCAATTGGGTGGTATCATGGCCGTGGAAACTTTTAGATATTACAGAAACACTAGGGGTGAGAGGAGCAAAACACTCCCTCTAATTTGAAAAGAAAGGAAGTCAAAACTGAGAGCACTAAGAGGAAGATGTCTTAGAGCTCTTACATTTGATTATCATTGTGGTCCAGTGTCTTGTCTATTTTAACAGCCCTGAATACACATGGCATCTTATCCATGATACTGGAGTGCATAAAACAAGTGGCTGCTATTGGATCTCTCCTATAGCAATTTTACATTATGTTTGGCTGTCTGTCTTCTTCTATAACAAACTTATCTCTAAGTTCTTTCATTTCTAAGTTTTCTCAACAGAAGAGGTTGAGATGATTGTGGGAATTGAAGATACACCATATGATGAGAGCATCAGACTCCAAAATTGGTGCTCTGGTTGAGTGTAGGATTACTGGTTGGGGAATAGCTCAGAACTGAAGGCTTTTAAGCCCTAAGACTAGCTTTGCTCTATCGTCTCAGATTTTTTTTTTTTGCATGTGCTGACATAGCCCAGTGTGTCTGACTAGTTCCTGAATCCTCCAGGCTCATTGTTAAATGTTGCTTCTTCCAAGAAGATTTCCCCTTACCACCCATGTACCCCCCTTCCACAAGTCTGGAATGATGATGTTTTTTTATCTGGACTCCTTGGCATCCTCAAGGTTTCTTTACCACTGTCTTTTAATTGCTTGTCTCATTATTCTGAGTTCCACAGAGCTCAGTGAAGCAGGGCTGCATTTACTGCCACTGCTCTGTCCCCAGAGCTTGGCACGGTGCTTAATAAATGTGTTCAGAATGACTGAGGAAGGGGTGGTTGCTGTGTATCCTAGAGAAGCATGGTGTGTTCACTGGGCTTCACTACCCTTGCTGTTAATACCACTTTCTTGTTGCTTATAATTCTCATTGCCCCAGATGATCCAGCTCTGTCGGAGGCACGGAGGCACAGTCAAATCTCATGCTGTACATTGATCACCTGTCCAACCTTTGCCTAGAGTGGGAGCCCCCAGTTCCTTCAAGAGATCCAACTTTACCTGTCTGTAAAGAAGAAGAGGAGGAGGGAGACAGCAGGGAGGATCCAGTGGCAGTTTAACATCAGAGCAGGTCCAATGTTTACTTTTACCCTTTCGGAGGTGGGTAACTATATGGGATGATGCATATTCTGTGAGTAATGACCTTGGACTTGGGAGCTCACCTGTACTTTATTATTTTTTTTTGCTAGAGCTTAGAGGGTGATGATTTTTGTATTTAATTCACAGCCAAAATATTCCATGATTACCACCTGTATGGAAGATGAATCCAGGTTCATCTCCCACATGATGTGATTATGACATTGACCTCGTGCTGGTTATGCCTAGCTATGTGGACAAAGGGTATTGCTCATTCATTGATTCCTATTTCTTGACTATTTTATTTGTTATTTACATTTTAAAAGTTCTCTGGTTTTCAGTGGTCTTTTATCTTGTTCCTTAGGGTTTAATGCTTTGAATCCGTCCTCTGGTAACACTTTGGGATCCTGAAATAGACTAGATAGTACTTTCATTTAAGTATAACCCTTCATAAACCTGGGATATGTCCAACGTGCTTTGTCCTAAATAAAATGTGAATCTGTAACCATGTAAGTTTTAGGCTTCAAGGCTTCTAAACCCCAAGTCCCTAGCCATTCATAAGCTTGTACTTCCCACTGCTATTTGGGCTGCAGGAATAATTTCTAGGTCTTTTAATATCTCCATTTGGACACGATGCTATTTTATGTGGAGGAGCAGAGTAAACCCTCAGGAGTCTGGGGTATTACACAGTTATCAGACCTGGTTCTTCTTGAAGTTTATTTTGTCTATTGATTCCTGTAGTGTGTTTGCGATCTTGAGTTGCATTTATATTCTGGCATATTAAACACCCAAACTGAAATGTTTTGGAACTCCTGCAAGAAATAACATTTCTGATTCTTCTAGTAAACATGTTAACTGATAATGCTGTGTGATGTGAACCAAGCAGGGATGGTCCATAGTGGTTCTTATTACCAAATTCCAAGGAAAAGTTTAGTTTAATTTCTAGCTTTGGAATATCACCAACAGATGCCTCCCTACCTCATACCCTCTTTGGATTGATGCAGATAATAACTGCCTACACAAATAAATCACATACTTTTGTGAGAAAAAAATCTTTGAATGACATTTGATTTATAATTAAACTTGGCAATGCAACCTCTGAAGTGTCTCGTCTTGTCTAATCACAATGATATATTTCCTTTAAGAGTATTTCTACATGCAGTGGGTTAGTCCTTTTGTTATCATATAGTGAGAAGAAAAATTTCAGAGGGGGTGAGAAAAATCATAAAATGATTGACATCTTAGATCTGGCTAAAACTACTATTTCTATTGTTTTGTTTGGGGAAACAGTTCCAATATTTTCATTTCCCTCTTTTGACTGATTTATTCAGCAGAAGTTGACATTCTACATGAAGTGCCTATACTAGCAGCCTACTTCCCAGCATCACCTGGGAACTTACTAGAACTGCCAGTTCTTGCTCACCCTCCTCCCAAACCTACTACTGCTGAGGTTCAGTGAGCTGTGCTAGAATGAGCCTTCTGGTGATTTTGCTGCTGACAGAAGTTTGAGAATTATTGGTTGAAAACTTCTGCAAATAAGTGAAGTGAGAGTATTAAAAGGAATGTATCTTAGAGCCCTATGATCCAAGAACTTGTGATCCAATCAAGGACATAAAGCATAAATTTATCATGCTGGCAGGGTGATATCTTTATAAAATGTAAATTACATCATGTACTGACTTCCTAAGTCCCTCCAGGCAGTTCCCTTTGTATTCAGAATAAATATAAATGCTTGATTAAGGCCTACAAGGCCTTGCATGCTCTGCCCTCTCCCTACCTTCCCTCCTCATCTGATGCTCTTCTGTCCCTCCCAGGCTCTCTGGCCTTCTTGACCTGATCCTCCGACATGCCCAATGAGTGTGGTGTCAGCAGCAATGGAGAGTAAGAGCAAGGAAGGCAGAATTGCAAAGGTTAAATAACAGGCTTAGTTATTGATGTATTTTTTCAAATGGCACAATATTTCTGAACTAGTGACTCCCTCTGGCTGGTATACTAATACACTGATATTTATAGAGACCAACCTGATATAAACCTGAAGTTTTAATGTGATAATGAATAATAGTGGCCCTTCATATAGAACAGCAGTCTGAAAGGACTTGCTAAATCCCTGAGGAATTACTTCAATATAGTGTAGTTTAATGCTAGTGCCATTCATGTGTACTGCTTGCTCTCTGGAGAATTGGTTCAGCAGACACAGTGCTCAGGCTTACACTGGGTGCCGAGTAAACCTGGATGGAGGCATGAGACACTGTCAGCTTATCCATGTGGCACAAGAACATTGTTAGAGCCAGTAAACACGACTTGTCATCTTCACTTATTTTTAGGAAAAATGATAACCACTGGTTTTGTCTTAGGAAAAGCCTATTTTAATGTTGGGGATACTTTGTGTATCATGTGATTGGGAAATAAAGTAGCTGTTGAGATTTTTATTCAACATGATAAAACGTGTCTCAGGATTCTTATAATGAGAAAGGGGACACATTTTGTTTTCCTTTGGTTGGGGGGAGGCACATCTGGATGTGCTCAGGGCTTACTCCTGGTATTGTGCTCAGGAATAACTCCTGGCTGGGCTTAAAGTACCATATCAAGGGTAATCAACCTTGCCAACCACAAGCAAGGCACGTGCATTACCCACTGTGCTATCTCTCTAGCCCTCACATTTTAAATTGACTTGTTAAGAAGAAAAATATAAAGAACTGAACCTGAAGCAATGACTACTTTTTTGTTTGTGTCTTAGAGTTGTCTTGTTTTGCTTTGTTTGTGTCTGATAGTTTTGTTGTTTGTGTCTTAGAGTTGTATGATTATGACACCACTATTTCAGTGTATCAGAATATCAGGCTATCATACTTTATAAACACATTATCTTTGGTTGGAATATTGTTTTCTTATTAGTGTTTCATTTGAGATCTTCACCAGAGGAACAGAATTCCTGTTGAGAATGATATACAGGGGGAACAGTGCTACCCATTCGTAGCTTTTAGTGCCGTATTTAGAGCATCTTCAGAGAATCTTTCTCCGAATTATCCCTGAACACAAATCCAGATGTGCTCCCCCCTCAAACTGAACTAAAACAAAATATGTACCCTTTCTTATTATAAAGAATCCTGAGACAATTTTTTTCATGCTCAAGAAAAGAATCCCAGCAGCTACTTTATCCAGCCTTACCTGACCTTGCAGAGGGAACTGAGAAAATTCTCACCAGAAGTTCTCTGATAAACCAGAAGCCCTCCCTATTAAGATGTAAAATTAATTGACCTCAGATGCTGGGGATGCAGTGTAAATAGAACAAAGCCCCCTTTCCACTCTCTTTCGCCTTTCAGGATACCACGACTCCAAGACTAGGAAGCTGTACAATAAACGTGCCCTTGCACATCCAAAAGGATGGGAGATCTCAACAGAACACAGGCTCTCTCTGAAACTGGCAAATAGGGCTTCTCTGTAAACTTGGGATGGTGCTGAGTACTGAATGGTTCCCAAAGTTATTCCGATATCTGTCTGAGTTGCTGCCTGACAATGTGGAGGGGTGGGGGATCAGGACAGTGTTCCCAGGAAGCTGGCACCATCTCCCAGACTCAATAAGACTCTTTCCATAGCAACTAATCTTCTGAGTAACCTCATAAGAACAACTCAAGACTAAATTCAGGGGGAACCCTATGGAAGGACTTTTTTCTCTTCCCAGCCTCCATTACCAGCTGAGGCATTGTGTACCAGCAGAACACAAACCCTTGACACCTTTGTGTTGGTTTCTTTTGGGCTTCTGGTGCCTCTGTCTAAGATCTCTCTTTGAGGGACGAGCTTCTGCTCGTCACCTCGTTGGAAGTATTGCTGCTTAGAGGGCCACTTACCAGATTCATTCATAGCTTTTACTGTCATATTGGAGCCTCTTCAGAGAATCTTCCTCGGTGTGGTCAGCAGCAACTAGGTACAAGGAAGTGCCACTGCCCTGGTGCATTCTCATCACCACACATCTGCTGAAACACAATGTTAAGGCAGATTCTCTGGGGGCCTTGGGGGGGGTTGTTTGTTTTTAGTTTGGCATGCTGATTTTTACATAGAATCAGTTCTCAGAAATAGATGACAAATAAAAAAAGAGATTGTGCAGGTCCAAATGTCCTTGTAATACCAAGGCTTGATTTTTTAGACTTGTGAATTGGCTCACAAGTCTGAAATTAACCTGATTGATTTGTCGCCACTCCTCAAGCCCATCCAAAATCAGTTATGGAGCATTTCCCATGGAACAGTGAGGCCAAGGCACACTGTGCAGCACACAGTACGTTTGCCGTTGACACTGCTCATTGTCAAGGGAAGGGGAAACATCGTCTGGCTTCCAGGTCCTGTGGTGTTCCTGTTGTATGGAGTTTTGCAGAAGCTCCTTCTCCTGTCATTTAGGAGTGACAGTCCAGGACACCAGACTCTGAGTGCATCTGCTTCTCTTCAGAAAGGCGGAACTCCCATGTAGGAGGGACCCCAGGGCATGAGCTCTGACACTTTAGAGTACCCAAGGACAGCTCACTGGTTGTCTGCACAAAGCCTGGATGAACTTAAGATGACAGGGAGCAGTTGAACTTCAGGGCGGTCTGAGTGGCTTAAGTTAACAAATTAATAAAGATAGCCATTTGGAGCACCTGGTTTCTACTTGCTGACAAAGGCCTAGAAATGTCTCTGATTAAAACACAGAAACCATTTCTGAAAAATGGAGCTGAGATCCCAAACAAAGCCAGCAGTCAATAATTCTAATCACATGGGATCTTCCCCAGCTTGCAAATCACTTGTGAAATCCAACTTTCAGGACTAGGGGAATGGGAACTGATATTCCAGTAATCTCAGGTATTGCAATGGTTTTGAAAGCATCCTTTAACGGTCCCCTTTATCCTAATCTGCCCTCTCCCACTGATCATCATTGCCTGCCTTGCTTACACTGAACTCCCATCCCTCATTAGTGTTACCTCTTGCTCCTATCAATGCAGTATTCATCCTTGTGTAGTTTATGGAGAA